CCTGGAACTATCTACATTCAGTTCTTGCAAAGTTAAACTGAATTCACAATTTAAATATGTACCATCGAGTCAGAATAACATTTTCCAAGACAATATTCAAAGCACGTTGCACAGATATTCAAATATGAAAGTGGCAATTTTCAAGGAAATGTCTGATTTATCAGTCATTATCAGGTCAGATAACACCCTGATGCATATAAATGCAAATGTATACGTTGATAGAAAATACCTTGGAGATTCCCTCACTACCGATAATAGGCGGCGTTGAAACTTTAGTACGTCTGTAACATTAACTGTTTAATGTGAACTCTAAATATTAATGGAATAACGATTCTCTAAATTCTTTCCCAAACAAAAAAGAAAACTTTAAGAACTAAATAGTACTAAAATCTAACCATGTTTTATGAATAAAATTATCACTGAAAGAATTATTATTCGTGTAATTACGTTGAATACAACTTCACCTAAACACCATTTCATATAGATAGTTAGTTTCTTTTTCTTCTTAAGTAATTATCATTATCTATAAAAAGCTTTCTGGCTGAAGCTTCCCCAAAATTAAATAGAGCTTAAGACAGCCTATTGCAAGTTTATGAAAAAATTAAAGAAATCATAATAAATGACATCATACTTGTATTCGTCTTGAAAAACGTAAAAAACATTATCAAAAGAAATAAATATTTGTTTGTTGTAAGAAATAACCATATGGAAGGTAACACTTTAACATTGTTTAAACATTCGATCAAGGTCTCACAACATTGGCGCAACGTAAATTCTGTTAATCCGTAATAAACTAATAAAAATTAAAGTTAATTTTTTATCGTTATTATTAATTACTTTACTTTAATAAGTCCAAAAGATTTAATTGCAGTGATAGTAGTATCATTTATTCTGAATTCTGATACTTACCCAATATACAGGGTGGTTCAGGACTAAGTGTCCAAACTGCAAAAATGAACTAAGGACCTCAAAACAAGAAAAAAATTCTCTCCGTAGAAATGTACGCAAACGTTTTATTTTGGAGATATTCACACCTAAATATTTTCGTTGTTATGAATTATTTAGGTTATATGAAATAAATAAAACCTATTTGTTTGTTTTAACTTCTTTATTAATCAAATGTGATTATTTTTTGTTTAATGTCACCCCAAACGAAAAATCCAGTGGTGTCAGGTCTGGAGAGCGTGCAGGCCAAGCCAATGGTCCTGCACGGCCAATCCATTGCTTGTGATTTGATATATAGGATATGATTGAGCAAGTCCGGTCAATGACCTTAATTCCTTACGAAGAAGGATAATTGAATCTTGTGAAACAATAACACATAGTACCGTTCTGCCACTACTGCTGTTGAACAAAGATGCCGAGCCTGTCTTAATGCCCAAAGAAATCACTTTGAATTAAATTTAATATAAATGTTAATGTTTACATTTAATTATTAATGTAGTAAGAAAAAATAAATAGGTTTTATTTCATATAATGTGAATAATAAATAACAACGGAAATCATTAGGTGTCAATATCTCCTAAACAAAGCGTTTGAGGACATACCTTCAGAAGAATTTTTTTTCTTGTTTTGAGGTACTTAATTCATTTTTGCAGTCTAGCCAGTTAACCCTGAAAAATCCTGTATATTACATATTTACGTTAAATGTAACTTACATTTAAAAAATAATGACCAGAGTAAGAACTTAGTTGAAGAACCAAGTAAACAGTGCAGTATTAAACTTTGTATTTGAAATTTACTATGATATTGAAACATCTACTTTTAGTCTTGGTCTACTTCTATTTGGTCATAACTAACATGAATTATTCTTCAATATGCAATGATATCAAGTATTGAAACGCAAAACATCATATATATATTAGCATGTAAAATTGACATTTTTTTTCACTTAATGCACATAGTCTCATCATGGACATTTTTATCTTCAATCTTCTATGATATTCCTTGTTCGCCTTAGGTATATTGCTAGAAGACAATAAAGTTCAAGTGAGTGAATTTGACGCTTGAAGTTCTTTCATGTAGCAAAAAGTAGTCAAAGTGTAATAAGAATTATGGCTTATCTAGCTACTGATTACTTCTAGGGAGTTTCAACATAAAAAAAAATATCTGACCTTCCAGTTCCCTACTTAGAGTTAACTTCGTTTTCAAGTTTCATCGGAAATAAGATTGACTGTCCAAGGTTAATAACGTTTATTATTTGGAGCTTTACGTTAAGGAAATTGGGGGAAACTTCCAGAAGTTGTAACCTCACCTTCATTTTTCGGGTTAAAATTATATCTTTCTGTGTGCGCTCGAACTGACCAGAGAAATATTACATTTGAAATTCTAATTTTTTTCCATCTTGGGGTAATAAACGTCAGTAATTGCCACTTGTAATTGCAGATAGGCCTCTTCGGCAATAAATCCACATTATGGACCAACCGCCTTCTCAATATTAAGGAGGAGCCGACACGAAGCGCTGGTTACACAATCGCCATCTTGAAGAAGATAATACATTCGTGCCTCTGACACGGTTATCCTGGAGGAAATGGCCGGATTTATGGGGTCTCATAAAAGAAACATTCGACAATAATATGTCTCTTCCGTGTCCCATTTTCCAAGAGGCCTCATCATCGTCGGAGTTATGGCCCATTCGGCTTCACGATCAACATTTATTGGCAAATAGGTGAGGGCAAGCAAAGCTAATGAAATGAAGCAACAGGTTTCGGCCGACAATGTGACATATAGTAGGTTTATAGGTGTCCTCGTAAAAACTGTCATATTTAAAAAAATAAAAACTGAGTTGTGTGCTTTAGATCATACGATAGAGTAAAAATATCAACAAGGAGAGTTTAATAATCTGAAATATAAATTATAAAAAATAGTTCTTTATAAAGATAATGAATTGCTGAAAATTATCCTCGCTTACAGTACGTCGGTCCGATTATTAGTTTCTGAGATATTTTAATCCATATTTTCAATAAAACTCGTATGAATTTGGTTTTCGACACTATTTTTCCATTTTTACCTCTCTAATCTGGCGTTACATTAAGATACAATTTTGAATAATAGCACATTACAAAGAGAATAAAATGATTAACATTTCCGTCGCTAGCAATGTCCAGACCTCATTTGTAGTTTTTGAGATATTTTAATCCATATAAAAAAACCTTCAATTAGTCGATTGCAGCCAACTTTACCCGAATGCTTAAGTTGAGTGCGGCAGATACTAGGAGTGAAATGCACCTTCGATTACATGCCCTTTAACAGCTGCTTAACCCTAATTTTTCTACATGAGTTGCCGAGGAAATTTAATGCACTTTCAAATTTATTATAATGAATTTCTTTGAGGATACTTAGATCTAGAGTTTTGAGCAATGACCGACGAAGACATATAATTCATGTGAAATAATCGCAAGCAAATATTCAACAATCTCTATCAGTCCTACATCAAACAGCTATGCACAAAATCGATAGTAAATTATATTTTCTTTAACTTTGTAAATAATAGTAATTTCGATAAAATACTTGGACATTTTTTTAATTTTGCAAATATCTCAGAACGCAATTGGAAAATTTCGTTCGAGAACATCAAATTTAGAACCCTCATCTCAAAAAAACGAAGAGAAAACGACTATTTGAATTTTTTCCTCATCCAACTACTACCCGACTGGGCTAATTTATTGACTATGACGTCGTCAGTTTTCAAAATGCAACTGAGTATATCGTCAGTCACGGTAAATTCTCATTAAAAGACGTACTCTTCACATCACATCAAAATATCAGCCGTCTGTTCTTCCGTTAAATTAACCGTCGAAATTCGACTATTTAATTTAAATTTTCGTTTAGAAAGCAACGGCTTTCAACCGACTGACCGATTTTGTGTGTTCACATGAGTTTTATCTACAATTGAAAATAGTTACCAGCTTTAAGTTGTTCAGTTAAATGATATGGTCGGTTGCTCCTAGTATACGATATTAGAAATGAGCAGCACGCCCACTTGACACGTGTAATCTCTGATACCGACCACTTGTCTTTTATAAGTCTATTGTTGTATTCTATTGTAGTTTGCTATGAAACCGGGAGTAAAGTGGGTGTACGTAAAGAGGTCGATAGTTGGTTGTCGTAAGTCGGTATGTACAGGATCACTAGCGGATCCAGAATTTAATTTTGGGGGAGGGGGATTTTCAACCCGGCAGCTTTTTTTTCATATATATAACGATAATTACTTTCGAAAAACAGAAAGATACTAACTACCTATATGAAATGGTGTTTAAGTGATTCTTGAAGTCCTATTTAATGTAATTAAACGAGCAATAAGACATGATTTTTTACCTTAAAGTATGGTTACATTTTACCATTTTGTGGAGAGGGGGCTTCAGTCCGAAAACTCCCCTCCCCTCCCCGTAGATCTGCCTGTATAAAGGATTGTTGTTTATGTACCAGAGAGCTGATGTTATAAGTCTTAAAAGTTTGTACTGGAAAGATTGTAGTTCTATTAAGTGCATCTTTTTTTCTAAATCAAAAATTTGTGAGGTCCATATATCCTTATGGGTTTGAATAGATAAGTGCATGTTCTTTAATTTTTGTCTTATTTTTAATTTTGATTTGGCAAAAAGTGAGTATAATACTTTCAGTCGCTTGTTTAAAGTTTTTCTATTTATTTTGACATTTGAGTCCCAGGACATCCTTCTTTTGAATATTACTCCAAGGTTGTTACATTGTAAATTTACAGTGTCTGTCAGAGGAACATGCTTGTCGCCGATTTAAACTATTGGGCACGTGTCTTGTCGAAGAGTAAATGTTGTGTGTTGTGATTTGTCACGATTTAATTATAATTAAATGTATTATATTTAAATTATAATATCATAGATCATTGCTATACTGTATTAATTTTCTATATTTTGAGTTATACATATTATTACTATCATTTTGGTTGTTGCTGTGCCAGAGTACATGCAACAACTGACTCGTAAGAAAGCATTGTGAGAAATGCCGCAGTCTGTTCTATGTTGCAGTCGACATGGTGTCGGAAAAGGAAGCGGAGGACGTACCTGATACTGTCACGTGGCCTGGAGTCGGGCAAGTCCGTGACAGACTCGGCCGGGAGCCCGCTGCCCAACTCCCGGCAAAGAAAGCAGCAACTCCCCGAACAGGACATCTCCAACTCCTCGCTGAGGGATGTGGACAAGATGGCCCTGGAAGACGAGCTATCGGCCTACATGAGGTACAGGCAGGACCTGTTGGTACGCCAGGCGTGATGGCCTCGAACCCACACCACCAGGTTCTGAACCGCTGGGGGTGCCCACGAGTGGATATTACTTTATCTGTAAATATATTCGTTGTTGTTAAGATATTAATCTTAATCTTAACCTTTAATCTGAAGGTAATTGTTTATATCTGAGAGCTTGAATAAAGGTCTAGCTAGAGAAACTGGGGACCTATTAGCACCTGTAGCAATATCGAGTTCAAAAAATGAAACGATTTTTTTTTTTTTTTCTTTACAATGGTGATATTTGAAAATGAAACATTATATCACGGTAAAATCCCTTTTTTAAATAAAATTACTACGATTTTTTAACTTACAATAATTCTCAAAAATTTGACGTTTAAATTAATTAATTTAATGAAGTGTTAAAAATTCACAAATATCCATTTACTTTCCACTTGAATCGTAAAATATTTTTTTCCAAAAAATCGAGAAAAGATTTCACTTAAAAAATATTAGCAAATATTAAATAGACAAAGTCTCCAGATTGAAAACATCAGATTTCTGAGTATTTTCGTAAATATAAACGTTGAAGTCATACGATGAAGTTTTAGATGGATATTAATAATTTGATAAAAAATGGTCTGTACCGCGAAATAATCAGAAATTCATAAAATAACTGCACAAGTTTTCGTAAGGAACTCGTTCATTCTGAAACAGGCAAAAAATATATATATATAAAAAAATAATAAACTGAGATTGTAATACGATGGACATAAAATATATCTCGCCCTGATTTCACACTTTAAAAGCAATTTTTTTTTTTTTGGAATTTGAAAAGTTACCGTGAACTGGTACTGATACTGTCTCTGTATTACAGTATAATACGAAACTATCCTGCGGGCTGAAACAAATTTGTATTCAGAAAACTTCCCTTTAGTCTTGATGTACGAATGTTCCTGTCTGCCAGATTATTTAATATTTAAAAACTCTAGTTTCTAATCACCTCCTAGTTCCAAAGTAACTCCTGTTTGTTGTTGAACTTAGAAATATGTACGTATACTAGTTGTATTTTTTTTTATATCAGGGACAGAGATCTGTCAAAATGAGCACTAGCCTCGAACAGCAAAATTTAGGAAGTGGCAATTTTGAAACGAAATATATATTTTTTTAAAATAAAAATTAAAAAATACATATTACTTTATTATTTTTGGCTATAATTCATTCTATAAAATGAGTCAATGTTAGAAGTTATACTAAATAGAATACTTAAAAAAAAAAAAATCTTTACTGAAAGGGGAGGAGATGGAAATATAAGTAGACAGAGAGGGGGGTAAAATAAAATTTACCCTCCCAATTGAAAACTTCTCTTTTTTACTGTCTTGCATTATACAAGGCTTATTTAATAAATTAACATAAAATATAATGCTCTTCTACATTCGGTAGTGGGAAAGCAAAAAATATTTGATGTTTTCTTTAAATTATTATTTGAAGTAGAACGATGATTATGATTTGTTTAATTTAATTTTCGATTCATTCATCTATTACTACGTGAGTAATGTATAAAATAAATCAGAGATGATTAAAACGTATGCATAAAGGTTCTGCTCTTTAATCAATTAATTTAATTATTAATATGTGTAAAAAAGTTTACAATAACTGGAAATTCTATGTCTTCATATTATAAGTGCAGTTTTGTTTATTATAATTATTTTATAATTGCAAATCCAACATCATATAGGATAAAACTTTAATATTTTATATTAATCAGAAAAATTGTATCGTAGTATTTTCAATTAACATGTAGAATTTTCAATTATTATATCGGAAAAACAAACCTTTCACCTAATCCGTACAATATCATAAATGATATTGGCTTTGAATAAAGCCATTTACAAGTTTTATTTTTAAAACAATAATTTAATATTTATTATAATCTTTGTCATTAAACGATGTTTTTTTAGCATTCAATTTAAATAAAATAATTTTATACAATTATTTCATTTTTTTTTAACAATAATAAAACAGATCATATATAAAAGCTTTACTTTTCCAAACATAATAAAATAAAATAAAAATGTGAAAAAACACTTTTTTTTACCTGCGTACAAACTTTTCGAAATGATATTTGTCGGATGCTAAGAAGTGATACCTACAAAATTACTAATTTTGACCAAGGACAAAAACGGATTGTTAAAAAGTAATTGTGTTTTTTTTACAGCTAAGAAGACATAAATAAAATAATTCAGTTATCTCCAGAAAAGTTGATTGACCATTATATATTAAAGTCTTGAAATCAACTACATAGATTGACGGGCTACATATATACGGTACTAGAGCAGACATTATATACAACTGGTGTATTTCTGGACGTAACTCAAGTGTTTGACAGAGTATGGCACCAGGTTCTTCGGTTTAAACTCAAGATAATAATTACACCTAATTACTACCTTATTATACAATATCCTTTCCGACAGATTTTTCTCAGTCCGATAGAAAGTAGAACTATCTTTTATCAGTTTTATCTTAGCAGGAGTACCCCAAGATTCAGTACTCTCTCCATTACTCTCCATTACATTCACCCAAGACGTACCTTGTAGTTCTAATATTTTAACAGTTGATGACACGGCAATGTTAGCAAGACACAAAAGTTCAACATACGCCTCACAGATCCTTCAACAGTATTTAACTAGATTACATGTATGGTTAAAACTTTGGGAAACCCGACTAAATCAAGACAAATCACAGCACATCACATTTACCCTTCGACTTGAAACATGCTATCCGTGTTTTCCTTGACAATACACAGATTTTACATACAGACACCGTTCGCTACCTTGGTCTGAAATTTGACCGAAAAATGACCCACATATAACGAAAAAGAGAAAAACGTTAAATCAAAGAATTAGACTTCTGTATTCACTTATTTCGGAATATTTAAAACTAAAAAATGAATTTGTAAACAGAAATCGACCACATACAAAAAGCTATTTGGATTAACGCATTACAGATTACTTGGGAAAGCCAAAAGACTCACATAAACAAACTTCAAATCTTTCAAGCAAAAACATTTAGGACAATTACAAAACGCACCATGGTACGTTAGCAACATAACCTTGCGTACTGACCTTAATAAGCCGACTGTTATACTGCCGACACATGAACCGATTACAAACGATTCCATAACAACTTACAAGGACATCCCAACACGCTCATAAAAGATATCTCAAATGACAAGGATCGTCCGTAGAAAGCTGGAGAGGAGCTGGATGAGGGACCTTCGCCTAATCTAGATATCACGCCAGGAGGAGGTGCCGCTGGGTAATGCTTCTCTTCATGCCTAACATGCCATTATATTTTGCAACGATCATCTCATTCACTGGTTTTCTTTAACATTATTATACGTGTGAATAAAAAAATTAAAGTAAAAAAAAAACTATTAACGGCAAATACAAGGATCCAGCTTTTACTGGCATGTAACTTCATTATATAATTTTATTTAATTAAATAATTTTTTTTTTGGTGTATAATAATCACTTCTTAGCTCCGTCGATATATTGTAGATTTCTTATACATTATATTACTTATAATATCTGATATGTCACTTAATTAATAATTGTAATATAGATTTTTCCCTGAGGTAATTGATTTTCATATGTCTGAAAATTTTCATTTGTTGTGAACATCAAGCGATATGTTAACCATAAGAAATATTATTTCTTGAGAAAAAAAAATATTATAACAGCATGAATGAATTATTAATAAAGTTCATTAGGTAATTTTACTATAAAATGTGTTCTATTTTTTTGGAAGAATTTGATTAATAATATTTTTTTAACAATAATAAAAGTAACATCATTTTTTCTTGATACTATATTACAATATAAATGGTTCTACATGTTTTGTTATTATAATGTGAATGTGTAGTAGTTAGAGTGGAAATCGTAGAAATAGCTAATTTTTATCTCATAATATAAAATTTTTGGCTTAGTAATGAGTAAATAACTAAAAAGTAAAATGGCGCTAAATCGACTGGCATACATCCGAAAAGTAACAAACTGCTTGAACTTAAATGAATACAGTGAATAAAGATAATTGAGTGATTTATCGAAAGCAGTCTTAAGCAAAAGCATACACAAGCTCATATTTTAACTATAAATAAAGTAATGCTGGAACTATTTATCAACTAGTGGGACTGCTCAACCAAACTTCACTCTTCTGTACCTTACAATGACAGTTTAAATGAACTTTGAAATTTTACTAGGCCACTTTTTAGGTCACCAATTATCTATAAAGAGGATGTTGTATTACATTTCTCATATTTTGAAAGTTTATCTACCCTACTAGATCGACAATCGGCCCTACTGTGCGGTAACCGGTTGACCGAGGTAAGCGAACAATTGGGTCGCCAAATATTTTATTATCGTATTTAAATTTATAATTCAATTAAATAAATGATTTTGTTTATTTAATCCAACTTCTTATTCTCAAAATTCACTGTATCTCTTATCATGGCTGTGAGTATAACTGTATTTGTTAAATCTTGTGTATTTCAATTAAATGTATTCAGGGGTGAATGCACTACAATTCCATTATAACGGTTAAAATCAAATTAAACAATTACATAGTGTTGAATTAATTCAATTTAGACCGTATTGTAATTAGTAAATGATCCAAATTTGTTATAAACAAAATAAGTACTAATTAATTATAACATATGGCACTAAAGAAATTTGAAATAGATCAAAAGCACCCCTAAATGCATTTCATAATTTTAGAAAAAAAATTGCTTCAATGTTTATCAGGGTACATATTTTATTTAAATGAATGCACCATAATCTTCACAAAGGTGGCAACTACAATTATTTAAACTATATTGCCCAATATCTTAAGGAGCAGATGAAATGTCTTAAAAATATAAATGTCTTAAATCTCTTAAAAATTTTACAAAAAAAAATTAAATTTAGAATAGAATTTTTTTTTAATTGTATTTATATTATATATGTTTCTTGTATTTGTAATTATTTTTTTATAAAATGTTTAATTTTTTCAAGAAATATCTAATATATTGAATTGTAAATAATAAATATATATGCATACCTTACGAGTATTAATATTTCTTAATGTATTTTCTCGAAATTGTGCATTGCGTGTGTATTTGTATAATATGACCATTGTGTTTTAAAATTTTATTTTTGTTGAAATATAATAGTGTATTTTATTAATTAGGTTACGATTATTATTTTATTTTTTTCAGGATCTATGAATGTAAAATATCTTGAGCACGTATTTTTACTATAAAATTTTAATGTGTGATAATGCATCTTTACTCAATAAATGTGTTGTGAAGTAGAGTTTTGTTACTGTAAAAGTCCCAAGATCATAGACGAACTATAAGAACTTTTTGAATTGTAAGAAATTTTAAATGTGTGTATCATTATTCATTTGAACACTATCTATATAATTTTAACTGTCAAATAATACATTATAAAAATAAGAATATGACAAAGAAATATATCACATAATTAGAGCACATCTCTTTGAAAGTACAAAACAATGTGGTGGAGTAAATTCATACAAGCTGAAAAATAGAAATATTCAGGATTTATCACATAATAGGTATGTGCTAAATATTACATATACAACTAATGTATCATATATAACAATTTCGAATAAATTTACTACAACCTCTTAGCACAATTTATTTCGCTCTCCCTGTTAATTAGTACTCCATAAAACAAGTTTTATCCAGACTTTCATTTTCTTCTGTCAACGACTAAAAGAACCTAAACGAAATTGTTTGATCAATGTATATTTTCATTTATAATTAGAGCACTATACAACGTTTATATGTAAACAAACAATAAAGACTATAAGGAAAATTTTAAAGCAAAAAAAAAAAAAAATTAACAGATCGAAATCTTTTTTGTACCAAGATCTTTTTTTGATCACCTACCTTAACTTAAAATTAATGAAGGTCCGCTGTTTTTACTATATGAGATACAAGTCGTATTGGAGCATAGAATGAAGAAAAGTTGACAGCACAATAACGTATTTGCGAAGAATTTCAACAATTACTGGAAAGTGAGAAATAGCTTCTAGGACTCATAAACCAATACATTTATTTAACCGTATTAATACAATAGTTTTGGAGAATTATTTTATCACTTGATTGTATCAAATTTCAAAAATTGACATATCTGAGCGTGTCAGTTTTGAAAATGCATTGGAATAGATGGAAATGCATGTTTAATAAACGAACAAATAATATATTAAGATCATTGTGTAGGGTTTTTTTTTTTTTTTGCAGCTGAAACTTATTTTTAATATAGATAAGTTTGAAAAGTTTTCGGTAATCGGAGGGACACCTTGAAAAAGGTAAGTACGGCCTCTAAAATTAACAAAACATGATTACCAAAATGATCATGAAATGTTTTGAAACAGTTTTACCATCTATTTCACAACATTCACACTTCAGATTCCATTACGTAGCAATGTTGGTAATATGTCATATGAGTCAAAAGATAAATTTAATATTAATGCGGACTATTATCTCGAGGAAGATCTATCATACTTTTTGCACTAGGCCGGGGACAGCTCCCTTCAGTGTCGTGCCGTACAATTTATGCAGTGACCGCCAAGTTTAATATGAGGGCCAACATATTTTACTAAAAAAAATCAATATCCTTCTGTATCTTAGAATGTAGTTGATTTGAAAGGTTTCCTATTTTTTTTTTTTTTTTTTTTTTTTTCCAGTTGGCATTACAGACCATGTAGATATTTTGCAGCAACACCTAGACTGCTCCAACATTGCCTCTCTTGGGCTATTCAGCTCTTGTTACATCTTTGTTAATTATATCTATCCATCTGCGTTTTGGCCTTCCACGTGGTATTTTGCCTTTCATTGAGACATTCATTGTTACGTAGAGGCTTCCAAATGCATTGCTACAAGCTTCATGCCCCGCCCATCTAAACTCCGTGCCTTCACATTATGAAATATTGGTTGACCAGTTTCTGTTAGCAGTTCTTTGTTGGTATTTCTTCTAGATGTCTGAGTACTCTGATCTCAGATCGCTCCGGTTATCGTGCGGAGGATTTTCCTCTCAAAACTTTCAACAATTTTTCTATGATAAATGCTCACGTCTCACAGTCATGCTTTGAAACTGACTTTATCATAGGATTACACATCCTAAGTTTGAGATTTTTCGGGATTTCAATACCTTTAAGAATGAGAAGAAAACTCTGTTTGCGCTAGTTATCAAGGAAACGCTCGTCTATTTCTGCCAGTTGGTCATTCATTAAGGTTATTGTAGAGCCAAAATATTTGAACTTTTCTACTCTTGGGAATGATTTTCCTTCTACGAAGATCTTGTTATTGCGGTGGAATTTTCGGCTTATTATCATATATTTTGTCTTGTTTTCATTTACTTGTAGGCCGATCTGCTCTATCTGTCTTATCAGAGTTGTAACGAGTTTCTCATTGTCTACTTGATTACTTCCCAGAAAAACTATATCATTTGCGTATACAAGGATTTCATGATTCCACCCTTCCATTTTCCTGTGATGTTTTCTCTTATTCTCTTCTCCAGAGCTGTTGACCAACATCGGTGACATCCCATCTCCCTGCCGTAAGCCCGTTCGAGCTTTGAAGGCTTCAGATACTTCTCCCTGTATTAGGACTCTACATTTGGGGTCATTTGTAATACACACACATGTTCCTATAGAATATCTAAAAAAATCGTTCACTCAAGATCTCCGAGATAAGAACAGGAAATAAATTAGCAGCTCGTAAATAATTCAAAAGTTATGATTCGTCACATTAACATACAATTATATTATTTTGATATATAAGCATTGCCATATAAATTGTAATTTCACCCCAAAAGAAGTAAACCACAAAATTTAGAAATAATTCAATTAAAGAAAACCATGTCCTCCTGCGAGGATAAGCCAAATTATCTGTTAAAAAAAATTGTTTTATCACACCAATAATTATTATATTGTAAAAATATTATTATAATTACACAGCTACTGTTATTGTTTGTTTGATCCAATAGTAAAAATTAAGTAAGAAACTTTAAACGAGCCGTTAATACTTGTTTAGTGTGGAGAGTATTATCATTGCTAATCTTGAAGAAGAAAACTATTCACAAAGTACACGTGGACTATGTACTTTTATTTAGAAACTAACTTCACTCAACTCAACTCAGCGGCCCTTATTTAAAGTTTATTATTAATTCAAATTAGCTAAACTATTAGTAGGAAATTTCAGATTCAATTAGTAAGCAAACTATGGAATTACCACGTGTTGATTAATTTTAACGATAGCATAATCAACTAAAATTTAATTTTTTTTGAAAAGCTACTTCTGTTAAAATAAAAAAAATAAATAAAGTTCAGAATATTGGCACATAAATGGAGGCTCTATTTTAAAAGTAGGTTGAATTTTGAAATAATTGTCATTTAACATATGGTAGCATAATTGTGGACCGATTGTGCTATTTGTTGTTCTAGCATTGAAAAGAATTCCATTGTTAACTAAAAAAAACAAAAGAAAAAAAGAGATCGATACGTCAAATAAACAGCAGGATCAATGAACAAATGAATATAATACTCAATGGTCGATTGAAGAAATTTTGTATATATGTATATATATATATATATACACACATATACATTATCATACTTCAATTGCGACTAACCTCGCCAAATAATTAGTTACTAGCATTATTCACTGTAAATTATTCATTAATCTTCACAAAATTATTGGGATTTAAAGGTGAAATCAAACGTATATTTTTGTAAACACCTCATTCCATCCAAATAACCAACCAAATGTTTCCCTCCCTCTAATCCGCTGTTAAATCCTTTATCCCTCTTCTCCCTCTCCCTCTCCTATAATCCTCATTCAAGATTGAGTCACCAGAGATTTTTCGCAAAATATGAATATGACATTGGGCGGATATTTCCATTCACATATCAACGGCGGCTGTAGAATCGTGAGCACTTCCTGTTTTTTAAATGCAAATTCTGAATCTAAAGTTTATGCGAGCAGTAAGTATGTGGAAGTATGGTTTTAAGCTTGAAGAGAAGCCCCTGATGCCATACTTTGTCGAACGCTTGGTCGACATCCAGAAATACTCCGGTTGGATATAATTTCCGCTCTAGTGCTGTAGAGATGTAGTCAGTCACCCTGTGCAATTGTTGTGTTGTTGAATGTAATTTTCGAAACCCGAAATGATGGTCAGGAATAATCTGTCTGTCTGTTAGTATATGTAATAGTCGTG